CCCTAGTTACAGACTTGATGGAAATATATACAGATCCAGGAATGTCTATTGTGTTGAAATGGACTTAACTTAAAAAGGAAAAAATCAAAAATTGTTCTGTGTTTGATATGCATATGCTTGGGAAAGTGAGTTTCTGTGTTTCCGAAGTGGATTTCAAACTTTAGTGTATATATATCGGTATCTGTTTGAGACCTGTTTCTGAGATATTTAGGGGGATTAGTCATATTTGACCTGTTTGGGCCCCCAATTTGCTTCTTGTTTGGATTCGGTTACCCTTTCTGCTTGCTTGTGGATGTCTTTTCAGTTGATGTGTTGAGGTTTATGGAAGCTCTACCTTTGTGTATCTTTCTATTAATGCTAAAGAATTTAGTTTGCAATGTTAGCTTATTAAATCATTCGAGTATTATTGTTTTCTTCATTTCCCCTTCATTCTGTAGCTAAATCTTTTTTTCCCATGAAGCTACACTTCATTTTTGTTTTTTTAGACCCTGTGAATTCCATCCGAAGAAAATTAATGACTGAAGTGGAAGTGTAGATTTTGAAGTCATAAACAACTAGATCTCTGATATCTATTGTCCATCAAAATGTTATAAAAAAATCTGTTTGTAACGTCGAATTCTAAGCACATGTGATGATTATGATGGTCAAGTTGAGCAAGTAAGCAAATTCAATTCAAGCTTAATTAAGAGCTGGCCTACTTTGATTGTGAAAGGAATTCCGTCATATCAAATATGCCATGTAAGTATTGGAAGCATAACAATCTAGTTTGAAGCTTTTTAAGTTATAAATATTCTTTGAACTTCATAAATTAACAGGTTAATGATCTATTATAAAAAGATCAATATCAATTTATGCATTCAGTGTTTCCAATATGCCACTTATCATATTCCTTTCGTGTTTTGTACCCCTGATTTTGCTTCAAAAATAAACAAAACAAAAAACAAAACAAAACTGGAATCGCAAGTGGATGCTTTCCTAATCTTGACAAAATCATTTCTTATAATTTATTGAAAAGAATACTACTATTGTTTACTTATCAGGCAGAAAGTAGATTTGTGTTATGTGGTTGGTTAATTTTTTTTTTCCTTACACTTTTTTAGGCAACAAATCTCAAAACAATTTAGGACGAATTGGAAAGATATTCACATCGGCAGAACAAGGTTAAAAGGAAAAACGCAATTTCACAGTCATTCTCAAGGGAGGGAGTTATAAGATTAGTTTTCGAAGTATTTCTTCTATCCCAAAATTATTGTCCAGTTTAGATTCTCAATATTAGTCCAATTTGTGCTAAAAATAAAAATTTAAACTGGACAATAATTTTAGAATATAGGGAGAGTTTTTTTTTTTTTTTTTGAACTGTAGTTTGATTACTTCGTTTCACTCTGCACAGTAAAATGTACGTGCTTCAACGAAAAGAATAATTTACGAGACACACTAATGGATGTACTAAAGAAAATCCATGAATTGAACAAAGAAGAAAATAGTAGCATCATTTCTAAAACAAACTCGTAAATCACTGATCAAACTAATGTACTGTGAACGTTTAATTCGAGGTCCAAATTTTGGATGGAAGTGATTGAAAATAGAGCAAAAAATGCTCAACATAAATATACATTGTTCATTTTTCAATATCCACACTGACCCCAGGCCAAGGGGAAACAAAGTTGGCGTTGTTAGCCAATCTTTGTCAAAGTCAATTGCACCTTTCTTTTTATATATATATCAATATAGATATATTAAGCTATTACATTTGTGAGTTCTACTAGGGGAAGGGGATACTACTACTAGAGACAGACTCCACGCATGTACGCCTCTGTTACGCGCTCTTCTAGGCTGCAAACTGACCTCTGTAACTGTCTCTGGGCTCCTATCTGCAAGTCTGCATAGGCAGTATTTAAAGTGCTCTTGGCGGGACTTTAAGTTTTTTAAGTTATGCCATTTACCACTTGGGCAATCCTTTGTTAGCAATTGCACCTTAAAAATACACGTGGTGTATGTTTGGACAACTTGTGAAAATATAGAAAGTTCAAAATTTTGGGTGTAATTGTGATTTCTTCTTCTTTTGATAGTGGCAGCTTAATATATTTGATTTGGTGTAAAGTAAAATTGGATTGTTTTAAGAGAAAATTTCCGGTCCCAATAGATCTTGACATAACTTTTCACCTTCCCAAAGGCCAAAGCTAATAAGGTCCATATGTTTTTATAGACTCCGTACTTAGTAGTTTGTAGTACATGATCAAAACCAAATATGGCCAGAAAGAGAGCAGATCGTCTGTCCATCGTTCGCCTGTCTAATTCTGTCTCGGAAACTAAACGGCGGCGTTTTGCTATAAAAAAGAGGTTGAACAAGTTCTTTTTGTTTTCTTTTCCCTTCTTCATTCGCACTTCTTTCACGGGAGGACTTTTTCTTCTCTCTCTCTTCAAGCCCCTTTTGGCTTCAAGTCCCTTCACCGCCGACGACAATCTTTTCACACATCTCTACCATCTTTCTTCCATCGCTTCTATTTCAAAGTTTCTACTTTCTAATGCCCAAGTTCAGGTTCCAAATGACGAATTGCGTGTTCCCGTCAATCTTGTGTTTGGGAAATGTTTCGAATTGATTAATTGTGCTAACTCAATTATTCTATCCCCTTCGTTGGCATGATTCTACTCATAAGTCAAAAAGAGCAGGGAACACTCATATGAATTCTTGAGGAGACTATAATTCTCAAGCCACTTTTGGGGGCATTTGCATGAAAATTGTGCACTCAAAACCGTAAAAAAAAGGGAGATCAACCAAGACACAATTAAATCAGACGATTGTGATTGAGTTTGAATCGACCTCGGGTCAAGATCAAATACTTTTTGTTTAGTTGGAGAAAGACGAGTAGAAACTGGAGAAAGTGGGGAAAAGCCAAAGAGACGGCGTTTGACTCATAAAGTGGAAACTCCTACCGTCGGCAAGCAATAGATGGTGCCGATGACACGCTATTACATAGAAGACGCCGACTAGACCTTGTCGATGACACGCTATAACAAAGAAGTCAATGACAGGACGGACGTGCAGAGGGTAATCCGACACACATAAGTGTTAGAACACCTACTACGAAATAACGAAATTCGTTGGAGGAGAAAATTGTGAACACCTACCTAATTCTATGTAGGAGAAAAAGGCAAACAACTCTATTGTTAAGCTGGGGCTAAGCAAGCATGATAGAACGTTATGAATTACCATATATTGGTAAAAACATGATAATTTTATGGTTGATTTGTGATGATTTTCTTTTCAGGGCTGCCTCTATTTATAGTGCTTGGATGAAACCCTTGCTGCCTTATGAATCCTTGGAAAATAGTAGCTTAACATGATCAATTTTCTTGAAAATAGTATACTATTCGCGCAGCAGTCTCTCAATCGGTTGATGACTATTCTCACAATCGGACTCTTAATTTGATAATAGAATTTTTTCCCAAATATATCCCAAATATATCTTTCTTAATTGCCTATTAATCATGCAGCTAATTCTGGAGCAATTCTATTCCCACTCGACTTCTATTTTTATTTTCCAATTCTAAATATGCTCACACTCAACCAGCCCATATTAACCCCAAACGTATTTTAGCTACTTTTGGACTATTTTAGCGCCTTAAAACCTCAGCCATAATCATACAAATTCAACAAAACTCATGGGTTATCACCAATATCACATGTTGGCCCAAATAATCAAAAACTGGCCAAACAGCAATTTAATTTTTTTTTTTAGAATTGTAGTTGTTGAATCACCCAGTGTTATTTATTCCGTCGATTTATTTTTGGTATTTCTGTGAACAGGGATTTCGGCCAACCGTCTTGTGCAAACTATTGTTTTTGAAAGAAATTGGCCTATTGCATTAGTTGGTTCAGTATAAAGTTCGTATCTTTGGTGATTGCAAGCTTCTCGTCCTCTCTTTCTTCCTTGGTTTTTCATTCCTACTCTTAGTTACGATTATGTTTTCAGATCTGGGTATTCTTGTGCTGTTGGAGTGAAGATTTGTTGAGTATGATGGATGTGATGGGATAAGATTAAGAGATTGGAGGTGGGAGTGGATGAATTGAGATTCTTGAGGTGGAATTACTCTGTCAAAAGAAAAGTTCTGAAAAAAAAGGACCATAAACATAAAAGGTAAAGGAAGAAAGTAGAAATAAAAGAATTACAGAAAAAAAATCAATCGAGCCTTTTTTGACAAAACAATGTCGTTTTTGTTTCGAATACAGAATAAGACAGGCGAACGATGGACAGACAATATGCTCTCGGCTAGAAATGACTCAAAAAATTGAAAAGTTGGAGCTTTTCAAATTTCAAAAAAAAAAAAACTGATTTACAGAGATGAAAATCCTTCCAAGCTTCAGATCATTAAGGGACTTTGCCGATGAGATTGACAGATCATCATGCAACAATAGTGTTGGGCGGTTCTTCCACCCGACAACCAGAAGAGCAGCAGAGGTATGGAAAATAACTTCACCAACGGGACAACTCATGCAAATTAAATATGTCCAGCTCTCAGCATTGTTACCTTTTCAAACTGAAGCCATGACATGCCTCGGGGCTCTCCAACAGGCTTCAAATTTTGGCCTACGTTATCATCCATACAGATTGTGAATTGCTGACAAAGAATTAAAGGCCCGACTCTCTCCCAACGGAAGCTCAAGATGGAGTAATTATGTTACGTCAATTAATGTTCATATTTCAATCTTGTTCTTTAGTTAAAGTAAGTAGGAATGATGTCCAGATCTGCATAATTTAGCTTATGCGAAACTAAAATGCAAAAGTAGGTACCATTTCAAAAAAAATAAAATAAAATTCAAAAACCCTACATATATTTATTTCGATGCAGAATGGTGTGTTCATTTCTGAACCAATCAATACCATATTGTCCTTCATATTTTAGTCTATGGAGGGAGTATATAATTAGATTCATCAGATCAGAATTCGATCAGCAACTTATTTAGTCACTTGTAAAGATTTTGTGTGCATAATTCAACAATGTCTTCTTCCTCCACTTCAAGTACTCGAATTCCACTTCTCATCTTCAATTTCTTGTTTTGTACCTCTGCATTTGCTATAAACCAAAGCTTACATCCCTTTGAATCCATATACCCGTTTGGAGATTCACTCTCAGACACAGACAACAAGATTCGTCAGCCTGGTGCAACTTCATCTTTTAACGTGTCCAATTGGCCTTATGGTATGACTTACTTCCATAAGCCAACCGGTCGCTTCTCAGACGGCCTCATTGTAGTCGATTTCAAAAGCGCGTAATCCTCCGCTCCTCAATCCTTACTTGGAAAAAAACGCGTCATTTGATCACGGGGCTGATTTCGCTGTAGGCGGTAGTACAGCACTAGACAAAATATTAGTGTGTCACCAACCAACATACCCTTAAATCAACAGATTAAATGGTTTAAGGCACATTTGGAATCTTTGTCTGATGAAGTGTCAGAACTGAGTACAGGCTGGAAAAAGTCTCTTATCATTCTGGGAGAAATTGGTGGATGTGATAACAACTACGCACTCTCAAATGGCTGGTCAACAGAGGAGGTTAAAAAGCATTTAGTGCAGTTCATTGTTGAAGCCATTTTGAAAGCTGTTAGAGAAGTAATTCAACTTGGAGCTAATTTTGGAGTTGTTCCAGGAAGCCCTCCAGGTGGATGTTTGCCTAAAGTTTTGACTGAGTTTCCTAGTACTGATCCCAGTGCTTATGATGATAATGGCTGTCTGAGAGAGAACAATGAATTCGCCATGTTCGTCAACGATTGTCTTCAGAGAGGTTTAGATTCCCTGAAACTTGAATTTCCTGGTCATTCTCTATTTTGACTTCTATGAGGCATTTCTATCACTTCTACATTATGGTAGTAACTTTGGTTTCGACCAAAATTCGTTGCTCAAAGCCTGTTGTGGAGTTGGAGGGAGATATAATTACAATGATGAGAAGGTTTGCGGATCAAAGGGTGTCAAAGCCTGTCAAAATCCGGAAAATTATATACGTTGGGATGGTGTTCATCTAACACAAGAGGCCTACTGTTACGAGGTAAAATATTGCTTATGACTTTCCTTTGAGTTGATGTTCATGAAGTGTTGCTGGGCGGTTAAGATGGGTTGCTAGCAAGTGTTGATGGTTCGAATCACGAGTTGGAAGTGGCTTGAACATGTGCAAGAAGGCAAAGGGAGGCTGAATGGAAAAGAGTGGATGGTTACAAATTGGTTACAAACTACTTATTAGGTAGTTATTTTATTAGTTTGCATTTGTAACCCATTTAACTTATATTTCATTCTTTATCCTATATAGTTTGGGATATCAACTACATCATTTCTATTTATAGAGATGTAGAGGGGCTGCAAATTAGAGTGAGAGAAGGGAAAAGACAAAATGTAAGAATGCCTTGAGTTTTGTGAGTTTGGGGGGAAGTCTAACCCGAAAGTAGACTTGTGTGGGGAAAATAACTAAACTCAGAAAATTGTTGGCTGAGGAATGAGAGCCTAAAATTAGGTTCCGGTCTCATTGGAGACGTGAATCTCTTGTAAATTTTGTGTTGAGTAATAAAATTATAAGTGATTGGGCTTTCTGTCCAAAATATTTGTGTGCCTCGAAATGATTTCTTGGTATGTTTCTAAGCGAATTTCTTTTATTGCGTGATTACTTAGCGGCTGGCAAAATCCACGCCAGTAGATCGCCAAATTCATAGAAAAAGATTTGAGGTCTAACACCTACCGCCACATAGCTAACGGTTTTCTCCATGATCTTCTGTCTACAGATACATATTCGATGTGAAAATTGGGATTAATTTGAATTTACAAAATGTGCTCTGCCTGGAACTGGATCGCTAGTTATGAAGAGATTCTTGCAGTCAGTAATGTGGCCTGTCTATCTGTTATGAATTAGTTCTTTTTTGTTGATAACTTCATCCAAAGCCTTTGCTTTTGCATAATTTAGTACAATAGTTTGGTTATGTAAATGATCTATCAAACTCTGGTAAAATAGACAAATGGAACAACAAATATTTGTATGATAATTGACAAAATATTCATGCAGGAGAATTCAACCCAATATCACCAACTGTGATTAAGGTTAAAAAAACTAGGAATTCCGAAGTACATCAAGAGAACTATAGAGATTTCGATTCTGATTTAAAACTCACCTTGAAGACATAAATACCACTCCGTAAAATATTTTCATCTCTCCTACATCATACTGGGAGGAACTAAGCTCATTGAATATGGGAGGAGCATTGGTGAATGCATAACATACTGTCCCAACTGAGAATTTTCACATAGTTTTCTCATTGTCCTTGTCCCGAAGTCATATGAATGGAAACTAGTTAAGAGCCTAAAAAACAAAATATCATCTTTGTAGGCCAAAAGATGCACCACAAAATGTTTGTCGCCCTGGTGTCTTTTCATCTTATCGGAGAAATCAAAAGGGAACATAGGATTTACTTCCTCTAATTCTTTTAGAGATATGGAGACACAGAGATCCCAAGTAGATGTAAACGGATCGTTGATTACCCACAGCTGGAGTCCTTCCCCAGACAAAAACACGAAATGGAGGTTTCCTTTCGATTCACCAATGCACATTTCGGGCTTGCTGTCGAACGCTATGAGAGGTAGAGGTATAGCAATCAAAGCAGAGAACCCAATCTCAGGATTAAACATGAGGATTGCATCACCATCTGTAAGCCAATACAGGTAACCATCTACAAATATGCCTTTGTTGCTTAACAGATGGTGTTCACATAGGCATCTCGCCGCTGAGCGCATCCAATCCCCAGTTTCAGATGAGTATACATCAAATGAATATTCAGATTCTCCATTGATATTTGTACTCTGATTAACAGCAACAACTTTGAAACTTACAGAAGCATCTCCGGTAGGAACCTGAAATGGATCAAAATCCAAAGCCACATTAGCCCTTTGGGAAGGATGAATCCATTGCAAACTTATCCACTCTCTGTTCAAAGGATTGCAGACATACAGTAAGGGTCTCGAAGAAGGAAAGCTACTACGGCAACATACTAAACCATTGCACGAAGCAAGTAGCACAACTTTTTCGGGAAGAAAGTCGAAGGCTGAGCAGTGAACTTTCAAAGTTTCTAGTGAAAGGTAGCTGATTCGATCTATATCCTCATCAACCCACGTGTGTGATTCCTGGAAGAAAAAACCTGTCAATGGTTCTTTCCTTTGCAACAGAGAGCGAACGAAAGAATGATCTGAAATCATACTCCGCCATTCCTTGCAAACTAACTTCATCTTGTGCAAAATCTTAACTGGTAATCTAGAAAGTACTTCAATTGAAATGTCATTGTTCAACATGTAAGTGAGCCTCTTCATTTCCTGCATTCTTGAATGACAGATACAGCCAGAAAATCAAGGACTGCAGAAACTAAAAATAGCAGGAATTACATCAACAAATCTGAAATTGAAGCATTTTTGGGAAATGATGAAGTTTTCTCTATATCTTACAAGAGAAAGGACACCAGATTTACAATGTCTTATTGTATATGTTATAGTCATTCCACCTATAGTTTCACAAAGCATTGTTAAGAACAGAATTAAAAGTAACATATAACTTCCCAAACATTCAATTCTGTGAAAAGCCAATTAAATAAACTCTCAAACTTACAGGAATCAAACACAAAACACTGTAGTACCAATTTGTTCCCCTTATCATTTGTTATTAGACACTGGACATTTTTATGAAAATCAGAAATCGAGAGCAAAGACCCCTCACGTAGGCATTAGTTTTATGAAACAAGGGAGAGAACTTCAATCACTGAGGAAATAATATGAAAATCTAGGGCAAATTACGAGATTGTGGACTGTCTGAGAAGGAAGAGCAGAAAGATGGTATCATGAACCGCGATGCAGAAGTTCAGCACGTAAAATGACAAACTGAAGCATGTTACACAATAAATGAATTTAAAGAGCATGAATCTGACGAAGTATGTGTTGTAGTTGATACCATATCTATAACCCACATCAAAAAGATACAGTATCGTTATAACATCATAACTCAGCCCCAGAATGACAGGTACATCCAGGCCCTTTAAATGTTAATTTCGAACCTTATTAAACTCTACAATAACAACTTTCTTCTGGAGTGAAAATAGTTGATTGCAACTTGATTCAGAAAGTAATAACTAATGCTGGGAATAGGAAGTGCACGCTTCATCAGAAGGTTCTGGAATGTATTCTACATAATAATTTTAAGGAAATTTTCCAGTAATTTTGGGTGGTTCTAAGAGGTTCGTGTGCATTTAATCCATTATGTCAGTTGCAGCATGTAGGAGTGGCTTCCTTGCCTCAGGTTCTGTTTAAAGTGCTACTCCCAAGTATTGATTCCCGAACTCATCTGTTTAAAGTGCCTCAGGTTACTTACAACCACACTCGGTTGTAAGTAACCTTCAACGGTTAGACGCAAGTGTCGCACATTCTGAAGTTTGTATTCTTAGATTATGGTTTAGGTTTTGAAAGGGCAATAGTAAGTGAAAAACTAAAGAAATGTTATCACGGAAGCAAAAATGAATTGTAAGATAGTAATGATGAGTATCGTATGCAAGAAACAAAACTTTAACCCCCACAATCGAGAACAAGAAAGAAAGCAAGGAACCAGCAACTTGCTTTGTTTGAGAAACGAGAGAGGGAAATCGGATAAAAAGGTTTCGTAAGTTTAAGTTGAAAATATTAAGGAATGTGAAAGGGTTGAATAGTTGTTTAGACTGACAAGGAAAAAAAATCAAAAGCTGTATAAATTTTCAAATTTTCAAAACGAAGATAATTTGGAAGACAGCCCTTTTAGAACCTTGCTAATAGCTACAAACCTATCAATCAGATCCCTTACACGATACTATTCGCCTCCAAATTCATGATGCAGACTTAGCTTCAGTGTTATCATTGTTACATAGTCCATATTTGCATTCATTTAGCTCAATAGAAAGACTTACCCAAATTTTACTTTTCGGTTCGATCACTCCTAAAACAAATGAGCAGTAACTCTAAAAATGAGCAGAAAAAAGGTAACCTTAAAAATAGATATCATATCCTTGCAATATAGAAAACAAGTGTTGCTAACCTAATTTCCAGGGTTGCTAAACTTATCTTTTCCCTAAAGAAATTTTTTAAATTTATTTATTTACAGTAAGCTCAGCCAGCAAGAATTACCCAATTACTACTTTCACCAAACCCAAAACTGATTTACTTTGTAATCCACGCTTAGTTCCAATCTCAATTTTCAATTCAGTTTATAAAAACCAACGATAATCGGTGATAAAAAATATAAAAAAAAAAAAAAAACAACTTACTTAGTAGAAGGTAGCTAAAACCAGCCCCTTGGCGATCAATTTAGTCAAACCGAGCTCTGAAAATTCCGGTGTTCTTAGTTCTTTCCTCTTCCTCCTTCTACCGGATTGGCTATATCTTCAGCTCCTTCCCTCCGGTCTCCTCTTCTCTATTTCCACCTTTTTCTTCGGCTTCTTTTCATTCTTTTTTTTTTTTTTTTTTTTGGGTTCGATTTTAAGGATGGTGGTGATGGAGCTTAATTTTGATTCGGTGGAATGATGGAAGGACGATGATGAATCTTTTGGTTCGGAAGCTCAATACAAGAGCAAAAGGAAAAATCTTCAAAATCAAAATGGAATTTTGTCCATTTTGTTTTTGTCGCCTGGAACTCTGGATGCAACAAGATGGAGGAGCTTGGGAGTAGTTTTGAAGCAAAAAAAACAACCTAAATCCTAACGCTGGGAATACTAGTATTATTTACCAGTTATCAAAATTATTATACTATATATAATAGTAAAAGAGGAATAGAAAAAAAAACCAAATGATTTATTTAGAAGTTAATTTTAATAATTATTAATTATAAGCGTACCTAAATATTCGAATTTATCCGACTCACTGTAGCCGTTACATCGTTGACTTAACCATTCCAAACGCGATTTAAGACCACTAAACACGTAGAAAAATAGAAAGGAAAAAGAAAAGCGAAATGATTTATTTAGAAGTTGATTTTAATAATTATTAATTATTAACGTACTTAAATATTCGTTCTTATCTGACTCATTGTAACCGTTACATTATTGACTTAATCGTTCCGAACGTGGTTTTAAGACTACTAAACATGTATTCTTATTATGTGTTTTTTCTTTAGGTTCTATACTAAAAATAAATTTGACAAATTTGGGTTATTACCTCTAGGGTTGGGATGCACTATCTAAATGGAAATTCATCTTATTTGATGTCAAATGTTACTTTCGTGTTTGTACTGTTTCCAAGGATAGATTCGAGTTTTGTTCATACTAGCTTGATTTGTTGAGGTATAAAAGAGACGTTTAAAAGATATTGGAATCCAATGTTGAACCTTTATTTATCGTTCGTATGGGATAATTTTATAACAACTTAATGAAATTTATTTACTTATTACATGAAAATAACGGCAATTTATCCAGTATACCGGGGGCACCGTGCCCCCCTCTTATTTTTTGCATTTCTAGTCCTTATTGTACTTTTTTGTCAATCTTTCTATATTTTGCAAGTTTAGTCCCTGTTATTTTTCTCTCTTCCAAAAAAACATCTCTAATCTTTCAACGAGCGTATCTCCCAATCAATGAAGAATTTGTGAACGAATTATATATGAAATTTATAGTACTTGTCGAGATCTATCCAACAAAATCCATAGTGAATTTTTTCGGGCTTAAAATGACTTAATTCGATGGACGAATAGGGGTGGATATCCAGGTTTACAAGATAGATAACCAACTTGTTCTAAATTGGTTATCCATTGTGTTCATGCTGATTATCCAATCAGTTTGAACTGGTTATCCATTTTGTTTCTACTGCTTATCCATTTGGTTATCCAACTTCTTAATTCAAAATAAGTTGGTTATCCATCTTCTTAAACTGGATATCCAATGTGTTCATATTGATTATCCAATGCGCTAATACTGGTTATCCAATGGATTTACATGCTTATCCAAATTATTTGTACTAGTTTTCCACTGTGTTCATGCTGATTATCCAACTTGTTTGTATTGGATATCCATCCATTTGGTTTGTATGCATATCCAACTCTAATCTTTCAACGAGCATATCTCCCAATCCGTGAAGAATTTGTGAACGAATTATATATGAAATTTATAGTACTCGTCGAGATCTATCCAACGAAATCCATAGTGAATATTTTTTCGGGCTCAAAAATGACTTAATTCTGATGGACAGAATAGAGGTGGTTATCCATCTTCTTAAACTGGATATCCAATGTCAAAAATATGATTGGATAACAAGTACAAACAGAATGGATAACCATTCCAAACCGGTTGGATAATCAGTAGGAACACAACGGATAACCATTTTTCAAAGAAAAACGAAAAACACATTTCTTCATTTCTGCCCGTAAAATTTAAATGCATTTAAAGTTCAAAAAAAATATTCAACATTGATCTTATCGGATAGATCTCGTCGAGCACTATAAATTTCATATATAATTCGTATTATAATTATTTACGGATCAAAAGATACAAGGAACACAACAATATGAATGTAAAATAAGTTGGTTATCCATCTTCTTAAACTGGATATATAATGTGTTCATGTTGAATATCCAACTTCTTTGTGGTTGTTATCCAGTATTTTTTTTTCTTTGCTCTTTTATGAAAATGATTGTCAAACTTTTTTGTACTGATTATCCAACGTGTTGCACTGATTATCCGATTATTTTCTATTAATTATCCAAATTGTTTGCAATGCTTATCCAATCATTTTTTCTTTCTTTTTTTTTTTTTGAAGAGTAAATGTCAAAAATATAATTGGATAACAAGTACGAACAGAATAGATAACCAGTCCAAACCGGTTGGATAATCAGTAGGAACAAACGGATAACCATTTTTCAAAGAAAAACGAAAAACACATTTCTTCATTTTCTGCCCGTAAAATTTAAATGCATTTAAAGTTCAAAAAAAATATTCAACGTGGATCTTATCGGATAGATCTCGTCGAGCACTATAAATTTCATATATAATTCGTGTTATAATTCTTTACGAATCAAAAGATTCAAGGAACACAACAATATGAATGTAAAATAAGTTGGTTATCCATCTTCTTAAACTGGATATCCAATGTGCTCATATTGATTATCCAACTTCTTTGTGGTGGTTATCCAATATTTTTTTTTCCTTGCTCTTTTATGAAAATGATTGTCAAACTTTTTGTACTGATTATTATTTTCTATTGATTATCCAAATTGTTTGCAATGCTTATCCAATCATTTTTTCTTTCTTTTTTTTTTTTTTGAAGAGTGAATGTCAAAAATATAATTGTATAACAAGTACAAACAGAATGGATAACCAGTTCAAACTGATTGGATAATCAGCATGAACACAATGGATAACGAATTTAGAACAAGTTGGTTATCCAAATTGTTTGAACTGGTTATCCACTGTGTTCATTCTGATTATTCAACTTGTTTGTACTGGATATCCAACTTGTTTGTACTAGATATCCAACTTAATTCTGCCCAAAGAAATTTGATCATTTTTAAGTAGGAAAAAAATATTGGATATGGATCTTGTTGAATAGATCTCAACGAGTACTATAATTTTCATGCATAACACGTTCTCTAATTCTTTACGGATTATGAGATATGGTTATTTAAAGATTAGAGATATTTTTTAAAGGAGGGAGAAAAAAAATCACAAGAACTACACTTGCAAATCATAAAAAAATTGATGAAAAATACAATAAAGACTCTTCGTGCAAAAAATAGGAGGGCACCGTGCCCCTGATATACTGGATACAGCCTCAAAATAACTTCATATCAATCCATTAATCCAGTCCTTTACATGTATTAGACTACTTTTCCCATTCTTTGCATGGAAAGAAAAAAAAAAATGGCTAAAAATTTTTACAAAGGAGCCGAAGCCTAATCTGAAGGCCCAAAATGTCAAGGACTTGCAAACCCACCCAAATCAACTTAACCTAGTACAAGGAAATTGGGCCAACAATTGCTGAAATCAGCCCAAATTTTTCACAAAACCCTATTAGACGTCACTTCCTGCCAATCTTTTACTATCGCCGTGCTCTTCTTTGCTCTGTGTTTCATTTTTTCGCAGTCGAAGAACCAATTTGGATTTCAAGCAATCGCGGCGGCGGAGACGACTGAAATATGCCGGCAGGACACGGAGTTAGAGCTAGGACGAGGGACTCCTTCTCGAGGGGATTCAGAAAGCGTGGAACCATCAACCTCAGCACGTATCTTCGGACCTTCAAGACCGGAGACTATGTCGACATCAAAGTGAACGGCGCCATCCACAAAGGCATGCCCCACAAGTACTACCATGGCCGCACTGGTCGCATCTGGAATGTCACCAAGCGTGCTGTTGGTGTTGAAGTCAACAAACAGGTTCTTTCCTTTCCTCACTGTTTCGGTTCCATCTCGCAAACTATTTTTAGTTGTTTGCTTGTATTAATTTTTGAAATTTTTTATTCGAATTATTTGTTGGCTCTCCAGGAGGGATTTCAGTGTGCATTTTACATGATCCGAGTGTGGTAGTTTGTTAAAACGATGAGCTTTGTGAACTGGGAGAAATTAGGGTTAGTGATGTGAATTTGAAGGCTCTATCGCTTTAATTTGATAATTAGCAATGTGTTTTTCTTTTATATCAATGAAATGTCATGAAGCTGTTGTGTGAATTTAAGAGTCTTGCATTTTTCTTCCGTGCATCAGATGACCCTTATTGAGAACATACAAAATTCATGTGTTAGTTTCTGAAAATGTTTCATAACAAGCTTATAATTATCAGAAATGGAACTATATAATTTAATCATAATTTGTTAATTGACAGCATAAACAACAGTGAGAGTCTGAGAGATATATTGCCTTTGTGTGTTCTTTTCGTGTATGGATGAGAAGGCATACATTGTGGAGCATGCATCTTCCTGTTTGGTCTTATCTAGAATGTGAATAATAGAGATGTTATGCATGGAACGCCTGACAATAATCATTTGGTATTTGTTCATATGCATTTTAAATCAAATGATTTGTTATTGAATGAGCCCCTTGGCTGTTAAGTTTTTTTGGATGTAATCTTTCTGTACAGGTGTTGTGTTGAAGTGTTTTGTGTTTCCTTCGTGTGCATTTGACTCGCTATGGTTATATCACTGTTATCGTTGTGTATGAAAACAACTGAATTTGCACCGATGTTTTTGTAATCCAGGTTGGTAACAGGATTATCAAGAAGAGGATCCACGTCCGTGTGGAGCACGTTCAGGCTTCTCGCTGTGCCGAAGAATGTAAGCAGAGGGTTAAGAGGAATGATCAATTGAAGGCTGAAGCTAAGGCCAGAGGTGAAGTTATCAGCACCAAGAGGCAGCCAGAAGGTCCAAAACCTGGCTTTATGGTGGAAGGTGCAACACTGGAGACTGTTACTCCTATTCCCTATGATGTTGTCAATGATCTCAAGGGCGGATACTGAGTTCCTAGGGTTTCTGTATCTGTTTGCTTTCTTTTCGTTGCTAGGGAATTGGATGATAAATTTTGTTTCCCTTGTAAGACTTGGCTTTGGTTTAGAAGTTTCCATACCAGTTTTACCTGATATGATGATGGCAGTTTGTTGCCGGATTTCATTCAGTTCTGGTAAAGATATTTTATCGCCTATTTTCTTGTCTATTTTGGTTTTGCTAAGTCTCTATCTATCTTCAGCTGTAAAACAATGAGGTTATTATTAAGATTAGATTAATGCATTTCAAACAATGCTACTCTAATGAAGCTAGGGTTCATGTATTTCTATACTAGTACTTGAAGGTTGGAATGGAGCCAAAATAATAATGAATTATCAAAATAATGAATTATCTCAAAAGTTAAACAAATTCTGTATACAAACACCATATACCGCAGCCACAGAACTTGAAGTATGTGCACTGCATCACGCCACAGAAAGATTTAACCATTCTAGAGTATGGCCATCCAGTTCAAGCCTCGGCCCATTGAAAGTGCTAAGCCATTAATTTGACGAATCAATCAATGCAGAAATACAGCAAGAAGATCAGAGTATATTGCAGCTTCTATATGAGCTAGTGTATGCTATGGTTATACACCATTACTTTTCACTGAAGGAGGCCAAGATAATCTCCTGTGGCTTGTCCCATCAACTGGATTATTTACCGCCACTTCACCTTCTTCGTCACCTCTTCCTTGCCGATCAATCTCTGACTTTCCAGTGCTCCTACTAGTGAAATCATCAAGCCTTGATTCAGTTCTCCACGGTGGAGTTACACAATCAGAATCTCCAGGTATTCTTTGTGAGGCGTCTTTGTTTAAAGTTGTGGCTGTAGAAGACCCCACTCTCAAGTTTTGAAGTGTGGCAAATGAGTCTCTCATTGCAGACATGGCTTCGAAGAATCGGGTGCATGAAGCTAAAGCAACAGGAATTGGACGGAGCATTTCCTGCAGTATAGAAGTTCAAGTTAGTTGCATTACAGCTAATGTCCCCAAAGGTTAGGAGCAAGGATTCGATACTAATTGCTGAAAACAGTACGTGCAAGCTTCAATTTCAAAAGAGACTGGGACTATATACTGTAAACAACAGCAAAAATGCTGTTCAGAAGTTTTCCCATTCATGCTGAGAACAATAATTACACATTTATTTTTTTGACTGGCTATATGTCAACTTCTGTAACTTTTTATAGTAGAATCCTAATGAGAATGAATTATATGCTCCTACACCAACAAGCCAGTAATACCAGGCCTCATAATCTCTTACATTCCATAAACAATATTACTGAAGTACATAAACTCGGGAAACCGGCTCTACATGCAGTCAAAACCACTGTTTTGAACGTGACAAAAGCTTTCAAAGAGAAATCATATCGCAAGAGAATGAAAATTCCTGTTTACTGAAAATCACATGTACTCATGTTTAATTCAAGTCGACATCAGTAAGGCTCACTAGTCAAATGAATACTGGAAAGACACACAAAGAAAATGAAGTCAATTTTACACAAATCAACTTAAGATTAAGCGCATGAAGCAGTGAGGTTACGTCCTGCAAGGCACTTTCAGTAATCAGGATACTTAAGTGGGGGACCGAAGACACATAAGGAATCTTAGGATATCACTGAATAAATAAGGCGAAAAATGGTCATCTCCAAATTATACATACCCCCCATACTGATGGCGGTTCCTTGAAGTTCTGTGTCCACTGAAAATCTGCAATGGATGCTGTCAAGGCACCATAGTCACTTGCAGCCTTCATTAACAACTCTGAAAATTGTTTCTGTTGAAGTTCAATAAAAATCGTAAGAAAAGCATCACAGCTATAACTAAATTGCAAATGCAGCCGCACGAAGCTAAATTTCATATTTTACTTGAAATATGTTAATTAATATTTTTCCAGAGAAAATCTGCAACTATAAAATGTACTAAAAACAATTTCACATAAAGAAAAAAAACATTCCTTCTTGTGCACTTGCACCTATCTCATATATGAATTTGAAAAAAGATTCTCCAACAAAAGCAGTCCAAACTCATTTTCTCTTTGCCTATGTGCTTCAAATTAGATCTTTTTATCATATTTCAAAACTGAGTTGTTTCAGAAAACCCAATATATATCAGGATGCAATTATTGAACTGACACGAAAAATTGTGCTTTATACTTTCATCCCAGGGGAACGTATATTATCGTATCCTCATTTTTCCGTCTTTACATGTAAAGTGTCCATTCAACTCACATGAAGGAAACCATTTCAGGTCCGAGCGCAAAATGGAGAATAGTTAACACATTAAGTAACAATTCATACAAAATGCCTGAGCAAGTTAGTTGACAATGGACGAGGAATGTCAATCTCAACACTAAAGAGCAAACCTGATATTCAGCCTCAACTGGGATGCAATCTAACGAATATGGTTGCTGAAGACGAGCTATTATCCGGTCCTGCAAAAAAAGTTATTTGCCAAGAGAAACACATTTAGAGAGAGGTATTAGGCGTACGTAAATGAAGCAGGAAACAATGAAACTAATTAGAGAGTTTAAAGGAATTCAGGCAGTTTCAAGACAATGAGAAGTTTCACCTATTCAAAACGGTATAAGCACTACAGCTGAAATGGAATTCAGAGTTTACTAGAAATGAATTGTTGAATACATCTACAAATGCTATTTTATAAAAGTACTTGTGTACAATAATAGTTTTTCACACTTCACAACTCTTAAATTCAAATCAATGTAACTGTCCCAGTGTCAGCATTCAAGTAACAACAACAACTAAACCTTTACCCCATTATGTGAGACTGGCTATATGAACTCTATTGAAGGATTTGAGAAGAATGAACTAAATATGAACACTAAATACAATTATCTTAGTAAAAAACAAATGATACAATTATCGTAATAGAGACCCAGGAAACATGGCATACTACCTTGTTTTGGATGACATCTTTCAGTATGGTAGTAATACGTGACAGTGTCTCAATCTTCTTTTCCATTTCACTCACATGTGTAAGATGAGCAACATTCTTATCTTCCTAGAATTTCAAAAGTAATCATAAGAAGGTATCAGTATCACACAATAGAGATAATAACACATAACAATAACCAACGTTCAAAGGAAAATGAACAGAACCTAATAAGCCAGAACCATGAATTCACAGGACATAAAAGTATGGCAGGAAACTAGATAAATAGGGGAATAAAATATTTACTTTCCGTCCTTGAAGCTCCACTTGCAAATCTGCTATTTTTCTTTGCACAGCAGTCAGCTCTCTCAAGACCCTGATCAAATCATCACCCTTTTCAGTGGTAGAAAAGGTTTGGATCTCTTCCTATGGAAGCCAAAGTAAATTAAATAAGCTAAAAGTCTAAACCAATAAACCAAGATGACCAAATCAAGACAACTAACACCAAAGCAAGATTTAGCAACCGTCCACAGTTAATACAAACGCACATGCTCAACGAAATATGCGATAAAGCAACACTCCCAATTATACTAATGAAGTAGCAAATATCAGGAACTTCCATGTTCGCCTTTTGATCTGCATATTGCATAATGTTCTGGAAACTGAAATATTTCCATTTTGGCGTTCAAGTAATGTCATCTTTCAAAAGCACAACAGGCACTCATCAATGACTCAAAAGTCACAATATGACAAGAAAGGTTCCAAAACTACAGTAATAAAGTCCATTCTGAAAGAGTAATACTCCTCCTACCTTGATTTTCTTAAGGGCTAATATCAAAATGCTATTAAAGTACCTTCATCTCAATGCAGTATACTTAAACAGCTCAAATCCTCTCATTTTCCTGAACATCGACAAAAATTGCATATGCAAATTGACCCCACAAACTAATTTGAATCCCTTAAGTTAATCACATAAGTAATTCAATACAAAATTCAAGAGCGGCTGAACAAATTATACAGTATGATACGAAAGGGGAAAAATGATAGACCAACAAAGAACAAGTAAAAAGACAAAAGAACAGCCTCAGAAAGATTAAAGGTCGGAATTCCAGTATAATCACAAATTCCCGACCTATATTTCGCAAGATCCAACAATAACTTGTCCAATTCGGCAATTAAAATTGAATGATACTCAAATAAAGAGTGCGTGCGGAAAAGAGACAGACCTGAGAAGGAGGAGGACTGACAGAGAAGCCGAGGTCAGAAGCAATGGATAGAGCATCAGACATTCCTCCGATGCGTCTCAGGGGTTTTCTTCCCACCCACGATGTATCACTCCCCATCGCCATTTTCACTTTACTTTACAACTAAGCTGCTTCTACGACGATTTCAAACTTTTAAACCTTTTCTTCTTTCCCTTTCACAAAAAAGAGGAAGACGGAAGAAGAGAATGAAATTGTTAGCCGGGAAATGGCCGGAGGGGGAGGAGTGGTGGCGCTGCACTGGGACCGGGGCTGTGAGCCGTCGTGGGTTGGGTGGGGGATTTTTGAAATGTTTTCTGAAGTTCAAATCTGCAGGCCGGGGAATTTATTAATGACCGTTTTGTCTATTTTTGCCAAAACAAGGGACTTAAGTAGCTAATAAAATTTATTTCATTCATAATAATATAACCAGCTACTAAAAATTCTTCCAAAATGCTAGTAAAAGCTAAAGACAATTCAAAATATTATTCTTTGCTTTAGAGGTGTTCCAAAAACAATTTTAAATATCATCAAATTGTAATGATTTATAATAAAACATTACAAAACCACCTAGCTCAAGGCCTAAAGTCATTACACAATTTTCTTAGTTATTTTTTCTTTCTAATGATAAAGGATTATCAATTTGACAACAAAACATACCACATTGTTTCTTGAAACCATTTCATTATGTTAAATCACTTTTGCATGCATTTGCAAGAAAATTATTTTTTAATACTATTATTCACAAGTTCTTTGTCAAAGAACTCATAACATTAAAACAACCAATAATAATAATCTCGTTAATAATAAAACTCGTCACTTAATAATTAACAATACTACTAGAATTAGGAAAAAAAAAAACTTTTTCATTTGTTCTCTTCCATTTGTAAAAATGAATAAATTATTTTCTCGTGTTGTAAATAATTGAATGATAAAAGAATAAAAGACTTTTACCTACTAGAACAGTGAAGAAGGAAAATTGAGACATGTTGTCTATCAAACTTTTCCCTATAAATATGGGTTCATGCAATGAAAATCTTGCACCGGAACTTACCTTCATTCTCCTTCCTACTTTTTCATGTTTCTTAGTCCACAACATATATTTCTTCCTTCCTTCATAAGTCTTATAAGTTCATTTTCAACAAAAAAAAAAAAAGGTCTTATAAGTTATCTCTTAATATTTAAACTAATAAAAATTATTATATTAAAGTCTCTAGTGAAGAAGTTATATAATTATCATATCTAATTAAAATTAGTACCTTTGCTTGGATCATTATATTTGTACCTTAGCTTTTTATAACATCTCGATATTTATTAATGAAAATTTCTAAAATATTGACTATTTTTATTTGCCAATTCGCCATTCCAATCCAAATAATTTACACAATTCCCCTAGAACGAAAAGGTATTTAATATCCGGCGGTCGTCTTCCGCCAAATCCTTGGCCGAAGATTTACGGGAATGGCGTCGAGAGGCATACTTTCAAGGGCGACTAGAATCAAGTCGAAGCTCCAATCGGCGCTTGAGGCCGCCGTTGTTGAAGTCGAAGATGTGTCTTACCAGCACGCCGGCCACGCCGCCGTAAAAAACACCGGTACTAACGAAACCCACTTCAACGTCAAGGTCGTTTCCGACAAGTTCGATGGCCAGAGCTTAGTGAAGCGCCACCGTATGGTGTATGATCTTTTGTCAGATGAGCTTCAGTCTGGGTTGCATGCTCTTTCTATCAAGGCAACTACTCCTAAAGAAGCTGGTCTTAAGAACTAATTCCTCCACCTTATGAACCGGTAAGATTAATCTTTCTTCCTTCTACGGGGATAAAAGGTTCCCAGAAAAGAACTACTGCTAAAACTGCTTTGATTTTCTTTTATCTTTTTTTCTATTGAGTTTGGACTTTTTGCCTTTTGGTACGTATTGCATCGGTGTTTGCTAATTACAAATTCAATGTAACTCATTTGGATTCCTTCTGTTGATCAAGTTTTGCCTGTAGCTCAAGTGTTTCAATTTTGTTCTATGTGATTTTCATGCTTATTTTGATTAGAGTTTCTGCTTGTGCAAGTATTTGAGAGAGTAGAATCACGCATTTTTGTATATGGTGATAAAAGTCCAATCATTACTGGTAATGGTGACAACATGTAAGAATTAAACATTAAAAAAAGAAAAATGCTAAACTAGTTAATGATGGTCCTGCAATAGCTTGTTATTTTAGAGTTAAACAGATAATGAAAAGAAACAGCCTGTTTCATTAAAGTATCAAGCTTAGAACATACTTAGGCTTAATTTATATGAGTGTGTGGTAGAAAGTTGTGATTTGGTTCCAAAGGTGTCTTCAATGAGAATGCCTTTTTTTTTTTTTTTTTGCCTTGGTACCGGGGCTGGGTTGTACCATAATGTCCTCTGGTAAAACCCTTGCTGGAACACTCTGAGAGGAGGTAGATTTTGTGAATAGGAAAGTGTGGAAGAAGGAAGATAGAAAGGGGACATAACCTGGAAAATGAACACCTTGAATTTCATGGGGAAGTTGGGATTCTCGGGGTGATGAGACTCGGCTGTGTACAATGAATTATGGTGATTCTTGTTACAAGAGATGAGCATATTTACAGCAAGCCAGCTACTAAATTGCAATCGACAATCTCGGACCAAGTCAATTCAAGAAAGCTTTGTTTTGGTGGGAAGGTTCATGAAATTGTGAAAGACCCCTTGGAGGACAGGACTAGACCTATGACTCGTTTAAGGAGAAAAAGAATGCGAGAGGCACTAAAGAACTTCATCATTGAAGCTCTCTCAAAGGAAGAATCAAAGTTCCATAGATTCCAGACTGCAAGTCCAGATGCATCAATGTTATTCTTCCCTACCGAATGTCTCCATGCATAATTGTGGAGTTGTCTCCTTGAAGTGCACCATAACACAGCAGTGCATGACCCAATGCTTCCAAGACATTGATGAGTTGGAGTTGTAGTCTTGGACCTTTGATTCTTCTAGGTGGGTTTCAGTGATCAAGTTGTTTAGTGCCTCACTTTCTTCCTTAATGAGTCATAAATCTAGTCATGTCTTCCAAACGTCCTTTACATGTCCATGGGACTTACCAACCAAGCCAAACCTTTCTTGAACTTAACCATATATCTCGGTGCTTGCCGTTTGGTTGCTATCACATATCTTTTTATCTATTTTATTCCACATCTGTACAAGCAATGTGATTCATTTTTCTCATATTCTTATGCAATAGGATTATCCAGGCAATATTCACTGCCTGGTAGCAGTAATGGGCTATAATGTTCAAATGAAAGTTGATAAGGAATGTCTACGAATTCCATTGCCTGGATAGTAAATTGCTTATTAAGGCAGAAAGGCTAGTAGTTTCTCCTATTTAGTAGTTTCTTCGTCTTCTCCTCCTTGCAGTGTGTTTATTAAGTCTGAAAATTGATTCTGCTGATGTCTTTAGTACTTGAAGCTATGGATTCCTCCTGGTTCATGGTTTTTGCGTATTGCAGTTGCATCTTGCAGGATTGATGTATTTGATTGTGCTTAGACATTTTTACGTGCATTCTCTCTTCTCTCTTTGTCCATCTTCATTTCTCTTTATATCATGGTTGTAAATGGTTAAATTTGTCAATGCTGGTGCAGAAATGTCATGGTTTTGTTGGGTAGACGCATGATAAACCGGAAGTGAAGACATAAAATCAGCTCTACACCATACGTGGACTAGACTTCTTGGATATATAGCATTCTCTGGAGCGTATTATTATAAGGGATTGTTGTAATAGATTGGTAGCACTAAGAGAGATTGTTTGTTGACATGTTGGTTCACTGGATTAATGATCTATTCTTTTTTGTTGCTGATAACTTGGTATCCATCATCCAGACGAGATTCATCCTAAAACAATTAATGGGGGTGTGTTGAGAATATTTCTTCTCCCTTGTGAGCATATTATTGCTAAAAAAAAAATGTTGCTTCATTGTTAATTGTAAAAATTTGAAACTCCTGATCTTATCTACCTTTGTTGTTGCTTCTTTGTTGTGTGCAAATAGAAGGTTCACTTTTGCATGTTTGGTTATTGAAAACGGAGTTTTGAGCTCATAAAAAAAAGGTTCGTCCAACCTTTGACAGTCCACTCTATTCTATAAAAATGGGATGGAGTCCAGTCCATACATGATACAAGTTTATAGGTTAAAAAATGATTTTGATAACATAAATTGAGCAAATTCCACAAAAGAAAAAATAAAATAAAATTGATCCTCTCCTTCCATCTCCTTCTTCTTTTTACTGCAAATTCTCTTTTAATTTTGGATATGATTATCATTATCAATGAGAAATTACCCTCAATCGTTGCAGAGTAACCGTTTATAAAGGAGTGATTAACCGCTCTTTCCTTTGAATCTGTTCAGCCGCCCAACATCCTCGGGTGTACCTCCTCCCAAGAAACAACACAAAGAAAACACCAAAAACCATTTTGCAAAGGTAAACCATAGAGACTCACAGAGACTGAGAGAGAAATTGCCCATCTCATCCTTGCCCTTTCTCTCTCTCTCTCTCTCTCTCTCTCTCTCTCTCTCTCTCTCTCATTCTTCTGTGTGTTTCTGAGTGTTTTTCCTTCTCCCCATTGTCCTGAATTTCTGGGTTACTATTATCATTTGTGAAAGCAATCAATAGAAGCAGGGGATATGAATGAAAAGGCTGGTGTCTCTAAAGAGCTCAATGCTAAACATGCAAAGGTAACATTGACAACCCTTTTCAATTGAGTTACTATTTGATCAGGGAAAATGGTTTCGAATGATGATTTCATGTCAATCTGTAATAATATCGCAGATTTTGGACGGACTCCTGAAGCATCCAGAGAATAGGGAGTGTGCAGATTGTCGTAGCAAGTATGTTTCTTTTGCTCATTTACGCATTGCTCAATCCATCATCAATCGATCATAATGTAGTTTGTATGCAAGATTTTACTTTTTCTTTTTTAATACATTATATGAAAATATATCTTTGCATAATCTTGTTGAGTAATCTTGTTAAATAATGTAAGTCGGGTCATTAATTCACGATGAATCACATGTTGTAATGGTTTTGCAATTTTGTGATCAACATAATGCTTGTGTTTCAGAGCTCCAAGGTGGGCTAGCATAAACCTGGGAATATTTATATGTATGCAATGCTCTGGAATTCATCGGAGTCTTGGCGTCCATATTTCAAAGGTGATATTACCTTCCCCTTCCCCCTCCCTCGCATGAGTTTGTGTTTGTGTGTGTTTTAATGGTGGTTTTGTGTTAAGAGGCTTTTGTCTCTGTAGCAGCTTGATTCACAAAGATCAGCATGTTTGTTTTCCTTTTTTACCTTATTTCTGGATAGCATGTTCTTCACCCAACCTTTGCTACTTTTGAATTTGCTTCTCTTTTCATGAATGAACTTTAGTATCTGGTGTTTTGGTCACTCTTTATCCTATCCACATCTGACTCTTACTTGTTGCTGTTACTTGTGTCATTTTTCGCAAAAAATAGGTCAGATCCACAACGTTAGACACATGGCTACCGGAGCAAGTTGCTTTTATGCAATGTAAGTTTGCTCCTCCTCTTGAATGGCTTGACAAGTTTTGAGATTTAACTGGTGCATGACTCTCCCCAAACCGGATAAGGAACAGTTTCTTATCACGTCCTGCTAAATAGGCCTCATAAGTTGTGAGTATTACAGTACTGAATGCCAGTTGCCATTAGAACCTATTAAAGAGATTCCTTGCCAGATTCACAATGTAGTAGGATCAGGCATATCAATGCTTGTTTTGTTCCACAAAACTGATCTCTTCTTCACCTGCAGAGTCATTTGTTGTATTTTTAAAATTTCTGTAGTTTGCTTTTGATGCTTCCTTTGATAAGGCAAGCTGGTTTCAGTAATAGTGGCCTTAATCATGCTAATTGATTAAATCCTAAATTTTTTCTTAGCTATGGGCAACCAGAAGGCTAACAGTTACTGGGAGGGAGGGCTACCACTGAACGTCGATAGAAGCAACATTGAAAGTTTCATCCGTGCCAAGTAACTTTTCTTGCCAACTTCTTGAAGCAAGGATGCTGTTTATAGTGTCTTTTTTTCCTACATATGTGATTTCCTCCCACTGATCATTTTTGTGACAGGTATCAGGAGAAAAGGTGGATTTCTCCTAAAGCAACTCTAGCAATTCACACAGTCAGTGAAAAGTGCTCAAATGGCAATAATTTGGTAGGAGGAGCCAGAAATGGTGTTCCAAGGAAAGCTAGGAAATATTCGCTTGAGGAGGAGATGTTTAGCAAATACATGTTACAAGCTGGTATTCCTGCACGGCCAAGAACGGTAATGCCAATGTCTGACTAACTCTGTTTAACCCTGTTTCTGTAGAGAACTAATACATAACTAGAGATACTCTTGCCTTCCTGAACATTAAAGGCTAATCTAAAGTGCAATAGAGACTTCTACGTCATAAGACATTCACCAAGCGAAAGAAGATTCGAGACTGTAATTTGCATCATGCTCTATTGAAATAGACGTTACAAATTCAGAAGGTGGACAATCTCCCTGTTAAGAGAATGAAACATGAAGTTAGTTGATTTGGTTTAGAATCTAAGCTCTTAACTTCCTGCTGCTTGAATATCAGAGACTAGTAGAAATGAAACATTACAAAAGCTGAAACCCTGGAACAATGTGTTAAACTGGTGGATGGGTGGTGAAAATAGATAGCACATGGAATGTCTGGCAAAGATTCAGGAATGTAAGTATAACCCGCAAGATTGTAGCAGCCCCACTAATGATCATACTACCAAATAATTGCTGCTATTGATGCAGTAAAGAATCGATTTTAGTAGCAATTGATTATTGGGCAATGGTTTGCATCTAGTATCAGCAACTGATCCAAGTCTGATTTGTTTTGGCTCTTTTTGTTTTTTTTTTCTCTTGGACTTCTGTTCTTGAAGCATGAAAAGAGAATCTGATCATTAACTGCTTTTATATGACAGGCTTCTTTAGACATCACAGATACAGCCTCACCGTCCATAAATGGGTTCACCAATGAACATAATTCATCTGTAAATAATGTTGACAATCAAAAAGATGTCTTCAGTTTGCTATATGTCCCGGACTTGAAACATGATCGCGTTGTTGTGCCTCCTTCTCATTGGGCGACATTCGAGTGTAAGACTGCAACTTCTATAAGTCAGTCCACTTTTAGTGTGGAGTTTCATTTAAGGTGTCCAATTACAATTCAGCTTAAGGAGGCCTGTGTATGAAAAAAGCTTCATCGACAACAGACATCAGGAATTACTGATGAGAAAGCATTTTTTTCAATGTATGAAATTGATTCATTTTCCTGTTTCATCCTGCATGTTCTAAATGGTTTCCCATTTCAGGAGACAATGCATGTACATAAGCAATAGGCTCAAGTGATCAAATGCTTTGGATTGACATCCATTTGCCACTATAAAACAGATGTGGGAAGAACTACTCTATCAATAAGGTATGCTGTCTACATGACTACATTGGCTTTTGTGAACTTTTGCATATGAAAAAACTCATACTTGATACTATAGATTGAATTCTATCTCTACGCTTGGAATCATGCTGTTTTTATTTCTTAGACATTGATTTTATTTAGATCTAGTTGAATCTTTCAAATTTGGCCGAGAGACTTACACCAGATATCAGTCTTTCTCCAGCTCTATTATAGCGATGACTTTATGTGACATTTGATTCATCGTTTTCCTCAATTATTTCACGCAGCTATCAAGTTAGCCATCTGAGTCGCCATCGCGTTTCTAACACAAAAAACCACAATCGCGGTTCTTGGTTTGGCTTCAATTTGGGTCACCTTGTGGCAGTTCCAAGCTTTGCAGTTGGGGAGTTATATTCTCTCTTCTTCTTCACGAGATTGCAGGTGCAATAGGTTTCACTTTTGTAACTTGCTTCTGGTATGGTCTGGTTGTCTTTCTTGATAATTAGCTTGATAGTATTAACTTTCAACAACTTGTAATAGATTTTTGACATTGATGTTAAAGCATCACTTGTAGTGATAAGAGAAACTAGTGGAAAATGGATTTCTTGCTCAGAGTTTTGTTTTACTGGAATGGAATGCTATTAACTCCTACTTCTGAAACAAAATATTACTTTCGTCCCTAAATAAGAGTCTTGTTTATCATGCTTGTTTAGTTCAACAATGATTCCTATTTGACAACGGATATAGTAGTATTTCTTACATTATTGCTGATAGTGAAATACCATCAGCCTCTCAACACCACCACCCCAAATTTCTACTAGGGCTCCCACTTATTGTGAAACTCCAAATGTCATGTTAGAAAATAAACAAATTGAAGTCTGTAAAATCTGTGTCTCCTTGTCCCCATTGTGTTAAAAAAAAAAAAAAAAAGACTTTATTTGAGTTTCACTTTCAAAATTAATGAATTGCTAGGTCTTGGTCTTTTTAAAATATTTCTTTCACGGCAATTCAGGAGACATGGCCAACTTTTAATTAAGAGGATTGATTTGTAAGAAGGTAATTAGCATCAATTAAAACAACATTAATAATTCAGGAGATATCCCTGTTTCATATTAATAATTCATTTTGTGTTAATTAAAACAATGTTACAAACTGGTCTGTGAATATGAGACGACCAAATTACAGAATACACAAAACTTTCTTTTTGTTTCTGCCTAGTGTAACTGTGTAAGCGAAATCGAAATCTGTATCAGATTAAGATAGATTAGCTAACCACTGGTATTCATAGCAATCTAATCGTTGATACAAATTTAATGTAATAAATTAAATCAAACTGAAGTTCACTCGTGTCATGACATCTCTCTTGCATGTGGGATTCTTCCAAAGTTGAGGACAAACTCCAAACGCCTAGTAAATAAATTAAGATACTACTCACACAAATAATTATTACTAATTGTTATTATTATAGCTATATTGAGTACAAAAAGTAATCTTTTTCTTTGGACTTCCAATTCAATGGTTAATTGATTATTGAGCTTTTTTTTGGCTAATGGGATGTTTTAGAGTACATGTTGAACCGTCATTTTTAATACTCTTTACGTTTTAAAATAATTATCATATACAATAATCAAAATAATTATTTAGGAGGAATGTAATATTATACTATTTGCATACCAGAAGCTCATGGTCAATACTCATAGTGATCTAATCTTGTTTTAAAGAGCATCCAAATTACGATATATTGATCTTCTTTTTCTTTCCTCTTTTTCTTTTTTTCCTTTTTTTTTGTTTGTTTCTTTTATAGTTTAATGTGGACCAAATTTTTTGTTTCATCTGTTTTTTATTGATTTGTGGGTCTAACATAATAATATACTATATTCAAAGAACTTAATATAAATTAGAAATTAGTTAAGCATGCATGTACATTGTACTGTGTTAATTAAATCAACCGAGGTGCTCCTGATGATGTTCTTGATCACCTTAGTGTCGGCTTGATACTGAATCAGTTGAGAAAACTAAGACTAGCTAATTGATTTCTTTGGGTCCCCTTTTTTTTTTTTCCTTATAAATAAAAGTGTTGTCTCACATTGAAAAAAATACTAATTATCATTCACTCATTATCCTATTGCAGAAATCTCAAACACGAAATGATTTGGAACGGCTAAATTGTTTAACAGGGTTAAAATATGGAGACTTCTTGATGAACTCTGAATGGGAAAATTACATGTTGATCACTATGAACGGATACGTAAATTAAAGAATTCCTCTTTACATCTGTATGTAATTATGTATTAATAGTGAAAATATGTTATACGAAAAGGGTCTTGCTCGTGATAAAAATTTTGATCATGAGATTGAAAGACCTTTTTGATAATTGAAAATGGAAAGAGGAACAAGTAAGAAATGTGATGAACACTTAGAGATGGAAAAAAAAAATGATTCCATTTCGGAGATAATATTATTGGATTTAATTTCTTGAGCTAAATGCATATAGTCCAGTAGTTATTATGCAAATTATCATAATTCATATTCATCTAAGTATCTAGGAATATACTTTTCTCCAACCTCATATTTTACGATTGATGATTGCATTTAAAAAAAAAAAGAAAAAGAAAAAAGAGTGAGCCGACTAGAAGGATGAATATGAATGAAAGTCTACATGCAAATTGACGGAGCTCGAGAAAGATGGCATACCTCACTACCAATCACAAATATTCTTGCATCAATGTTATTTAGGAGATTGAAAAACTTTGATATGAAAGATGCGTATAAAGAAAATGGTGTTTGCAGTGACGCAATCTTGTCTTCATGTCGTGATTGATAATTTTTAAATTATACTGTATTCGTCTCATTTTAATAGTCTGTTTTTGTTAATTTAGAATTGAGATAGTAAAATATAGAGCTAAACTGATATGTTCGCAGCTCTTTTTCTGTTGTTTTGCTGGGAACTTTCCTTGGTTAATATAATTATTTTTTGGGGCTCCTAATCAATAAATGGAATTGAATTTGTCGATGGTATGTGATAATTAATTATGATTATGCTTACAATAATACATACGTCGACCACGTGATAATGCAAATAGCCAATAGATTTGTCTGAATTATTGGAAGACAATCTCTTAACTAACACACTCATTTTGGTCTTAGAAGAACAACATTTATCTTCGACATATATATATATATATATATATATATATATAGTACTTAATTAAAGCAGCAAACAAAAAGAACACGTGTCAGCACCACAATGTAAATTTTCCCGCCAAAAGCCATTTTCAGTACAAAATCATTTTTGACACGTAGCACTCTAACTAATCAGAAAAAAAGATGGAATAGATAAATACATAAATCTCTTAATTATAATTTTATAAAAATCTCTTAATTATAGATATACTAATCCCTTAAAACAACAATATTTAGTTGATAAAATCAAATGTAAGGAAATTCCCTTAAATCAAGTGAAACACCAGTAATGTCTTTCCAATCATCAATTTTAAAGAATCTCTTTCATTCCGCTCCTCTCTCACACCCGGGCCTTTAAATCAATTACTTAAAATCTGACATCAATTATCAATCCATCTCTTTCTACAATAGAGAAAAAATAAGCTGTCATGAAAGATATTTGATTTTTTAAGGATGAATTTTTTTTATTCTTCTATTGTAGATATTGGTTTATGATTTATGTAAACACAGACATAAGTTAACTGTTGTAAATTAAATGTTGTAAATCTGGGCATAGATTTATGTGTAATAGCTCACTTTCTGTCCTTTCAATCGATTTTTTATTCATATATATATATATATATATATATTTTTATTTTCTTAAGAATGATTCGTATTTTTTATTTAATCGATTTAAAAATACAGGCGGCACCCTGGGCATTCGTCCGGAGCAAGCATCTAGTGTATATATATATATATATTAAAGTTTCAATTTGGAATGAGCGACAAGTAAGCCGACGGCCATGCCCATGATTATTTCATATCGATTGGATGTGTGTGTACTTTCTTCATTCGATCCGGCAATAACAATAATATTTTACACTATATTTGTTGATATCATTGATTGAATTATATTAATTCATCGAATTGGGCGTCGCAATCTATCTACTGCACCTTAATCCTGTTTTTAGTTTGAACTCGTGTATCTAATTAAGAAAACAATTAATTGTCCAGAGATTTTTATTTCGATGATAGAATTCTTATATTCCTGAAATATATCGACCCTGGTCTTTTGAATTGGACCTCAATTAGGCTTTGTTTGGTTGCATTGAATTGGGACCAAGAATTGGAAGTGGAGCTCTATAATTCTAATTCTTGTGTTTGGTTACTAAAAATAGAAGTCTAAGAATTGTAATTATAATTCAAGATGGGATTCAATTCTTTATTTTTAATTCTTTTGTGGAAGCAAATAATTAGAATCTAAATTCAACACACTTAGGATCATAACCAGGTCGTTTTCGAGTTATAACCTAAACGGGTCGTCCTATCAATTTTTGTCTTTTGGCCTTTTTTTAATATATTTTTTATAATTTTATTTTTTCTTCAGCTTTTTTCTTTTTCTTTTTTTGCTTTCACCGCTTCTTGGCGTTTTTCTTTTCTTTTTTTTTTCTTTTTTTTGGGCTGTTTGTCTCATTATTATTATTATTATTATTATTATTATTATTATTATTTCATATATATTATTATTATTTCATATCAACGAAATCAATATAAAATTAACATTGTATCTTTTTTACAAAAAAAATAAAAAATATAGCTGTAACCAAAAAAAATTAATAACTAAATATTTTAGTTTTGGTTAATATTTTTATTATATTATGACATAGTAAACAACATAACATTTTCATTTTTTTAATAAAAATTGTTCCATATATACACCTATACTATAATACATATATATATATATATATATATATATTAACTATTCATGGCATCTTTTCACAAAAAATTATGTAAGTTGAGTTTTAAGTATCTATTATTTCATATATAATTATATACTAAAAATAAAAAAATTTAAGCATATATTATATACTAATGTTAATCTATGTATAAATGAAACTCAATATTCATAAACTGAATTTACAATGTTATATAATAAAAATCTTTTTAATTTTTGATATAAATCAAAACATCAAAAACTAAAATTTTCAAAAATAATAAAAGAGAGGAAAACAAAGATGTTTTACGTGTTACTTGTTTGTGTATTAAGTGAGAATTTTAAGTATCATATGAATAGTTCTTATACGTAATAATATTTTTTTTTGTTTCCAACAAAAATATGTGTACATAATAAATTACAAAATTGATATAGAAAATTAATTAATAATAATTCATTTTAAACAAAAAAGTAAAAATTGTATTAGTTAAACAACCACAAAGTAGTCAAATATACATGTACATAATGAATTTATTTTATTTTTTTTGTGTTAAACATATCCATAACAAAA